AAAGGCATACATACAATTAAAAATTGGGAGTTATGTGATCCGAATAAACAATTGGATGGTAAACAAGTAAAACCAGTAAAGAAAGTCCTAAAGTCGGGCGGGGCCGTCTTTATGATACCTTACACCTTTGCTATTTTAGTGGAGCTCCACATAACAATTAAAAGTTTTTATGGGAGAATTCAATCATATACGGTATGATTATAATTATAATTTAAAGTTCAAAGGACTTAATATGCCGAAGCAATTGTATCTTTTAAATTCGGATTTGTATTGCCCATTTGGTGCACAATTAATTTGAAATCGGATAAATATATATATGGGAGCTATATACAAATCGGAACCGATCTCTATAAAATTCAGCAAATATATTTCTGAGCTGTATTTGATATATTTCTTTGAATAACGTAATTACAGAGTGCATATTACGGCTGTGGGTAACAAATACAAAAAATCGGATTAACAATATATATGGGAGCTATAGCTATATCTGAACCGATCTTCATTAAATTTGGCATACTTGCTTCTAGACTCAATTCGGTTGGTGCAATTTTAGACGTTTGGTGCACAATAAAAGGTAAATCGGACGAAGTTATATATGGGAGATATATCCAAATCTAAACCGATCTAAATAAAATTTACCAAAGGTATTTCTGAGCTCTATTTGACATATTTCCCCAAATAGTGTTGTTACAGAGCGCATATTATGCCTGCGGAGGACTAAAAAAACAAATCGGATGAACAATATATAATGGAGCTATAGCTATATGTGAACCGATTTCGATCAAATTTGGCATACTTATTTTCAGCCCTAATTTGGTTGTTCATGCAAAATTCCATACTATTCGGACTGATATTACGGACGGTCGAAGATATATATGGGAGCAAAATGTTTATTTTTCCCGATTATCTCCAATTTCAATAGGGTTCGTCCTTGGGCCAAAGAAATGATTTGAGCAAAATTTCATCTGGATCGGGTAATAAATGCGAACTGCACTTTGTTCACAAAAATACATGGACAGACGGACGGACGGGCAGACATGCATAAAACGACTCAGAATGTGATCCTATTCAGATCATTAAAAAGAACTATGGGTCTATCTCGTTTCTTTTTAATTTCTAACAAACAAATGCACAAAACATAACACCCTGACCACCTTGTGGTGTAGGGTGTAAATACTGAGTGTAGCCATTACATTAGGGTCTATATGGACCTGAATACTTTTGTGATAAACCATGAAAAAAAATCAATGAATAATCTAGCTAAAATCACCAAATTACCAAATATTGGGGGTTATCGCTATATTAGGGCTATACGAAGACGTGGACCTGCAAGGACAATTTTCTGTCTTAGGCTGTAGTATCCATTACGAACTTCAAATACCAAATTTTAAACAATTTCGGTGAATAATGTCGCTAAAATCGTCAAAAAACCGAATATTGGGAGGTACCGATATATGGCGGCTATACAAAGACGCGGACCTGCACAGACAATTTTTTGTCATAGGCTGTAATATCCAGTACGAACTTTAAATACCAAATTTGAAACAATTCCGGTGAATAATGTCGCCGAACATAGGGAGGTACCGTTACATGGGGGCTATACCAAAACGTGGACCAACATGACCTATTTTCAATACCAAAAGTCCTGCAGACATAATATATATTTGAATAAATATTTATCAATTGACTTCATTTCCTTCGGAAGCTAGTTCGGTGTGGGCGGCCATAACAGCCGATGGTCGCTCTCCGCTCGTATTAATCGACCGTGGCATCAGAATAAATTCCGAATATTATCGCGAAAAAAATTCTGGAGGGTTGTTAGTAAAGCCTTGGGCACGTAAACATTTTGGCCGCAGATCTTGGATATTCCTACAGGACTCAGCACCATCGCACTCAGCACGCGCCACCCAAGAATGGTTACAAAAATGAAGTTCCTCGCATCATTTCCAGCGCACGATGATCACCAAAATCTCCGGATACCAACCCGTTGGACTATTGTGTCTGCATTATTTTGGAAAGTAAGGTTGGCACTAAAAAATACAAAAGTGTCGATCACCTCAAGCAAGCACTTCGCCGGGAATGGGCCAAAATACTGCAGAGCAACATTCAGGCAGCGTGTGACGATTTCATTGGCTGCTTGAAGGCCATAATTCGTGCAATTTTTTTTTTTTTTGAAATTTTATATAAGTCTACCTTTTTGGAAGTTCCATTAAAAGCCTAAAAAAGTTTTGGGTTCTTAGGCAACATATAGTTAAGGGATTTATATTGATTTGACTATATACATTGGGACTTGTATAGTTTGAGATATATTTGGCAACATTTAAGATAGAACTTTTAAATTTGATGGAGATCTTTGGGTTATATCCATGGTACAATAAGGAGGTAGAACAGCTTCGTAAAACTACAAAAATACAGCTCTGAGGCTATGCCCGCTTCCTGTCAGACTCATTCAAAATTATTGTTTTAATTTTTTTTTTCATATCTTTACTCATTTTTAAAATTAGTTAAATAGCGCGAAAAATGAATAAAATGTCTAGATTTTTTTTCTCAGAAATATGATCCTAACTGTTCAATCTTTCAATTTCATGGCTATACTGGTTAATAGCTTTAATGGGCGAGCCGCAAATCATGTGTCTTCCAATCATTGGTTTTGAGAATATATATATTTTTTTTTTCATTTCTCAAAACTTTTGATACATACACAAAATTGGCAGAAGTCGAGCACACTTAGAAAAAAAATTGTAATCAGCTGTTAGCTCTACCTTACCTTTTTATTGTACCATGGTTATATCCATATATCATCACTGGTACAGAAAATGGGTCATAAGTGTTCACTTTTTAGATTGGCTCCCATTAAGGTATAACTAAGATTTCAAGTATTTTTTAGGTTCTGGTTATGTTTTCCATTTAATTTCGCAAATTTTGGAATTTTTTTTGGGTGTTTTATAAATTTGATTTGGCCAAAAAAAAATATTGGTCCTAACCCATCTATGTTATGTAACGATACTCCTGTGTTGTTACTTAACAGTTGCTCTACAGAAATATAATCGGAGTTTTGTATGGAGCTAGAGTTTAGGGCTGGACAGAAGCATTTATGGTTCCTACGAAATTGCGCATGGATTTAGGCTCACAATTATGTCTATTGCAATGGGAGATGATCGCAAATTATTTACGAGAAAAAGGAAAAAAATCAATTTTTCTTGAATTTCCAATCAACAATAGGTTACAATTATACACCGATCGAAGGGTAATTTTACGTGGGGTAGAACATAGGATAGACAAAAACCCACAGTTTTGGATGGACATCGGATACTATTTAATTGCTTAAATGGATTGAAAGTTTGGTGTCAAAAATAATAAATTTCCTTCCAACTGCGATTTCCATCATTTTCACTCCAAATTGAATAACAATGAGCCTAAGTTAATTTCATTCTTCAGGACAATGACTTCGGTGAAAATGCTGCTTTAAATTTAAGTTTTCTACATAATCACTTCTGACTGTAAAACTTTAGCGAAAACCTCCACTTGCTTTAGCATATTGTTTTTCTCGTTGCATTCGAACATGTAGAGCATTAACGAAAGTATCAGCCAAGAGCTAATAGCTGTCCCCAGTTATTACGCAAAACAACTACAATAGCAATAACCAGAAAAACTATGTTTTTGTGAAAAATCCCATAAACATAAAGTTTCCATCCACAAAAATATAAAATTGGTTCGTTGGCTGGTTGGTTGGTTGGTTGGATGAGAAAGGAGAACAAAACCATTAATGATTCTTTCAAGCTGTAAAGTAGTTGTAAAGGAAGCTAACATTGAAAGTGAAACATATGCAAACAAAATACACCACTTTCCTATACGATGCGATAGTTGATGAGAAATGGATGTCGGCAACGGGGGTTGTTTGAAAAATTGGGGAATATGTAATCGTGACGTCGTTGTACGACCTTGTATACGGTCAAGGCTTAACAAAATTTTCTGCACAAACTTCTCCTGATTCCTTACAACGGATCTCTTTTTTTATACCCTCCACGATAGTATGGAGGATATATTAAGTTTGTCATTCCGTTTGTAACACCTCGAAATATACATTTTAGACCCCACGAAGTATATATATTCTTGATCAGCATAAAATTCTGTGCAGGTTCACATTATCGTAGAGCCCCCATATAAATGTACCCTCCAGATATTCGGTATTTTAATGATTTTAGCAACACTTTTTACCGGAATTGTTTCACATTTGGTATTTGAAGTTCGTAATGGATACTACAGCCTATGACTGAAAATTGTCTGTCCAGGTCCACGTCTTCGTATAGTCCCCATATAACGGTACCTCCCGATATTCGGTGTTTTGATGATTTTAGCGACATTATTTACCGGAATTGTTTCAAATTTGATATTGGAAGTTCGTAATGGATCCTACAGCATATGACAGGAGATTGTGTGTGCAGGTTCATGTCTTCGTATAGCCCCCATATAACGGTACCTCCCGATATTCGGTATTTTTTAAGATTTTAACAGAATTTTTAACGGATTTTATTGCTTTTGAAAATTACCAAATTCGTTCCAAATGTTGGAGGGTATTCAAAGTTCGGCCCGGCCGAACTTACAGCTTTTTTACTTGTCTAGCTTTCACTTTACCCAACTTATCATATCTACCTCCTACGTGTGAACTACTTACGCGCATTTATATGGTAAACATTTATGGCCATCTCAGGCCATTAAAGTCTGTTTATAACTCTATTTGCCATGTACACACACATACACACACCATTACAATTACATATACTATATGTGTACTGCATACATCCATTTGTAGTCTCTTAAAATTCAGCAACACATCTATACACTTCCGTTTTTGGTTTTATATTTCTTGGGCCACAGCAGTAACAATTCATGGGAATCTTCTTAAACATTATTCTATACACACACACTCAAAAGCACTTATGGCCATACTTTATCCCTCTCCCCAACTCACCCCTTCTCAAAAATGTTGTGGTACTTACCGAATTACGCGACGGTACAAATTGTAATATTAGACCATATAAATAGCCATAAACTATGCCAATTCCAATACCAACGGGTCCTTGTAAAATTTGTTCGGTTAATGATCCTCCTGCAAGAGTAGAATACCAAATGACAAAAAAGTAGGAAAGAAAGAAGAAGAATTTTTTATATGTCACCCTCCATACAAAGATGAACATCGATTTTGATTATATGTGTTGATGGTAGTGGTTATTTTATATGTGTTTGTCATGGCAGTAAAACGTATTAGTGCGATATCGACATGTTACATACCTGTTGAGAATATAACGCCATTAATAACACCAAACACGAAAATCGCCACCACATCATTACATGTAGTCATGGCATAGATCAGGGTATGGATGCCGTTGTTAAGGCCTAACCGGTCTTCCTTCAGCTTCAGCATCACCGTCACCACGACATTGGGTGACACGGCTGTTACAACCAAACTGTAGGCGATAAATCGTACGAAAAAGGTAAAGTTATTGATGAAATGCCTTATGTAATATTTAAGAGAGTGTGTGAAATCAAAGGTGAAATATGGTGGCCGATAATATCTTCTTAAATTTGGGGGAGTTATTGTCTTTGTGGATAAAGTGTAAATTTGATCAAAGGTTGCTACAAGTGAGATAGTTATAAATAAATGTTGTTTATAATAATAGCCGATTTTCGAATACTGATTCAAATATGTGCCCTTTGTTGAGTATTTAAAATCTTACTGAAATCTATGGAGTGGGTTCTGAAAAAATGGGCCAACATTGTCCATTTCATATCGCGACTAAGAAAATACGATATAAATATTGCGACGTCCCAGGTTTGGTCTACATTGGTAACTTCATCATAAAATCCATATTCTTTCCAAGTTGCTGGTTGAGAGAAATATATGGATATAGCGTGAGATGAAAAAACTGCAACCAATTACAGACTACAGCCATTTCTAAGCCACTCGTCCGACAGCTGTTAAAATTATTCCAGTGACAGCTCATTATATTGTTTACAAGCGTACCAAAGCATTTCGGTGAGAATTTTCCAGAAAAAAAGTTATTCGTGATGGAATTCAAGCGTGATAGTGTGATTTCTTTATATTTGGCTGGAAAACCCAAAGTGGCTATCGTTAGAGCACCTCTAGCATTTAAATTTGAATAAATCTTTTGTGTCTCGTGCTATCGCTCGTTACTGTATGATACTGGTAGCGTAGACCGACGTCAAGGAAGTGGACGGAAGAAAACAGCAACATCAGCAGAAATGGTTCGAAAAGTAGAGATGCGACTTGATCGCAAGCCGCATGGCAGTGGCCGAAAAATGGCTCGTAAGCTGAATATATCGCATTATTCCATTCGGCAAATATTGAAAAATGAGCTCGGGGTAAAGCCATTGAAATTCCAAACAAAGCATGAACTTACACCGCAACAGGAAGAAAATAGGCTCAAACGAAGTAAAGAGTTGCTTCGCTTGGTCGAAAGTGGTGAACTGCCGAATTTGGTTTTCTTCGATGAGAAAACATTCGTTATCCAGAAGTTTGTAAACAAAACAAAATGATCGTGTTTACTTGCCAAAATCAGCTGAAAATGTGCACCTTCGGTTGACCACCGGAACTAAAACGCCGGCCATGGTGATGGTGTGGGCCGCAATAACAGCCGATGATCATTGCTCTCTGCTCGTATTAATCGACCGTGGCATCAGAATAAATGCCGAAAAATATTCTGGAGTGTGTATTACAGTCTTAGTCACGCAAAAATTTTGGCCGCAGACCTTGGACATTCCAACAGGACTCAGAACCATCGCAATCAGCACGCGTCACCCAAGAATGGTTACAAAATGAGGTTCCTCGCTTCATTTCCAGTGCACAATGTCTACCAAAATCTCCGGATACCAATCCGTTGGACTACTGTGTCTGGAGGATTTTGGAGAGTAAGGTTATCACTAAAAAATACCAAAGTGTCGATCACCTCAAGCAAGAGCTTCGCCGGGAATGGGCCAAAATGCAGAGCAACATACGAGCAGTTTGTGACGGTTTCATTGCCGTTTGAAGGTCATATGTCGTGCCTAAGGTTACCAATTCGAACAAATCTAAACTAATTCTAAAATTTGATGCTATTTCCGACATTTTTTTGCTTTCATTCAATAAAAAAAATGTAAGAATTATGGATATGGAATTGTTGCAGTTTTTTTATCTCGCCCTGTATATCATTTGAAAAGGCCAAAACGTGTGTCATCTTAATAAAAATTTTATACCCAAGGCCTATTTGTATCAATTGTTTCAGAACATTTGGAGTCGAACTAGAGGTGTCCATCTGCTCGTGTGTCTGTCTTGCCTGTGCGCACGATAACACTCGAAGAGAGTATCCGAATAGATCCGAACTTGGTACATTGTAATATTTTTGTCAAACTTATATTGAGTTCGTAGATGGGTAATATCGGTCCACTCCTTCTGTCACCTCCCCTACAAAAGGTCAAAAATTTCACAGAAAACAAAATACCATATAGAATAAGAAAATATAATCCCATTTTGTCCAAACTTTGCAAATTCCAGTATTTCTTTCAGTGCTAGGTCAAGTGTGAAAATTGACATTATCGGTCCACTCCATCAAGTATCCTCTCCTCTTCAAAGGGTCAACATTTTGAAAAATTATTACTCTTACAAAATGTAAAAATAAGAGTCGGATTGTCTTCAAATTCCGTAAATCCCAATATTTCTATCAGCACAAGAACTGGTGTGAGGACGGAATATATCGGACCACTCCTTCTGATGCCTGCCACACAATGGTTGAGATTTTGAATAACCATGAAGCTGCAAATGAGCATCTGATTCCGTTCAAACTCGGCAATAGTTATATCAACAAAAAACTGTTGTAAATGTGGAATATATCGGAATACTCTTTCTGGTACCACCGCCACAAAGGATTTTGGTTACTTAGAACCCTGAAAATGTCTATATTTATATCAGATCCTCTCACCCAGTAACAAATTTTGTATTTTTCGTTCTACCATCTCGTTCTCGTTATCGTTCTATCATTTCCAGACCATCGCCGATTCTCAGCTACTAATAGCATTAGTATAGCCAAATTCCAAACTGTAACAAATATAGTACTATTTAGTACTTGTCGTGACTTATAGTAAACATTTCTGAAACCAGTTATTTTTTTCAAACGTGCCACCAACAAGGTCTCCAATACCAAAATTCCAAATTACCTACTTCTTCCGTTCACATAAAATGTAATTGTATTAAATTTAGTATCGTTTAGTACATTTCCGAAACCAGTTATCTTTCTTAAACGTACTACCAACAAAGTCCCCGATACTGGGTGAACCGAAGAAGTAGGTAATTTGGAATTTTGGTATTGGGGACCTTGTTGGTGGTATGTTTGAAAAAATTAACTGGTTTCGGAAATGTACACATTTTCAAAACCACCTTCATATATCAACTTACTTCCCAACCTTGATTCCCATAACAAATTTCAAGTTTTTAGCTCTATCCGTTCACATAATACCAAATGGTACCATTTCAGAAGTTTGGTACCATTTTAGAACTTCTTGTAACCTTAAAAGCTTGCATTTCCAGAAATTTATAGTAAATCTATCCTGCACTACCAAATTTCAGAAATCCAGCTCATTCCGTTCGTCCAATACAAGGATTAAATTTTTCTTAAAATCTTCTAGCTTCACCCGTTTCGTCGGGGCTCACTAGTCTTTTACTTATATTTATTTTTTTAGAATATTTCGGTTTGGGTTTCTAACTCCAGGTTTAACAAGAGGTCTTCTGGAGTGAATGTGGTACGTTTGGCTGGGCAATTGAAAGGGGGCAGCGTATTGTGCGCGCCTGTATAAAATACCGGGCAGACGTTTCGCACATCTTCGTAAATTCGTGCCCAATATGAATTGCGATGACTTTACCATCCTGAACGCAATTGCGTTCAGGACTACACTGGTTTGTTTGGGCACCTGACGTTCTTCAGCTGCAATGGATGGGTGGTGGACTCAGAGGTCGGAATGTATGGTGTAATCCTGACTGCTACCGTATAAATGCCTCTCAGACTTACCTGTTAGGCATCTTGATCTAGAGGCTCTCTTTTATAGCGTTGAACCTCCCTCCTCCTCAAGATTATGTATGTCAATCCTGACACGCCGGGTGGGGGAGTATTATCCACCATATTACGGTTTGGATGAATCCCACGATAACACACTAGCAGGTACTGAAACGAAAGCATATGGTTATGCTGACGTACTGTCGCAGCTCTCAGGTCAGCATTCTGGCAGGTCTGGATATTCTTCCACTACGTAGCACTTATATTCGCAGACCACACTGACCAATCGCTTTGTAAGAAGTCAACAAGGTCTTCTTGCCCGCACCGCAAGAGCTGCCGGTTACAACCTTGAGGTCTTTGTTCCTATTTTTCATCTTGTCGCAGATAACAGTATCTTGCGCGGACGATTTGAACATGCTGTCAAATGATACCCCTAGAATTTTGGGGTAGCTCGTGGTCGGTATTATATTCCCTCCCCCCACCTGCACATTCAGCTAGGTTCTCAACTCCGCAGGGCATGTAGGAAAAGGTGTGGGTGTTGATTTCGCGAGATAGGTGTTCAATCTTACACATATGTCATTAATCAAGCTTATAGCAAACAAGAAGGTATCATCAGGGAAAATCAAACCTTTGTTATACCCTCCACCATACTATGGAGGTTATATTAATTTTGTCATTCCGTTTGTAACTCCTCGAAATATTCATGTCAGACCCAACAAAGTATATATATTCTTGATCGGCGTAAAATTCTAAGACGATTTAGCCATGTCCGTCTGTCTGTCTGTCAGGTAGGCAGGTAAATGGGCCATGTAGGTAACGGTACCTCCCGATATTCGGTATTTTGATGATTTTAGCGACATAATTTACCGGAATTGTTTCAAATTTGGTATTTGAAGTTCGTTATGGATACTACAGACTAAGTCAAAAAATGAGCCATTTAGGTCCACGTCTTCATATAGCCCCCATATAACCGTACCCCCCGATATTCGGGGAATCGTTCCAAAATTGGTGTTTGAAGTTCGTAATAGATACTGCAACATAAAACAGAAAATTGGTCATGTAGGTTCACGTCTTCGTATAGTCCCCATATACCGAAACCCCTCCCCCCATTATTCGGTATTTTGATGATTTTAGCGACATTATTTACCAGGATTGTCTCAAATTTCGCATGTGAAGTACGTAATGGATACTTCAGCCCATGCCAGAAAATTGTCTGTGCAGGTCCATGTCTTCGTATAGCCACCATAAAATGGTACCCCCGATATTCGGTATTTTGATGATTTTAGCGACATTATTTACCGGAATTGTTTCAAATTTGGTATTTGAAGTTCGTAATGGATACTACATCCTAATTTAAAAAATAAGTCATGTAGGTCCACGTCTTCATATAGCCCCTATATAACGGTATTCGGTATTTTGATGATTTTAGCTACATTAAAAACAGATTTTTCTTCAAGTTTCGCATTTAAATATTGTAATAACTTATGACAAAAGTTGCCTATGCAGGTCCACGTCGTCGTATAGGCATTCGGTATTTTTAAGATTTTAACAGAATTTTTAACGGATTTTTTTTTTTTTTTTTTTGAAAATCGCCAAATTTGTACCATATGGTGGAGGGTATTAAAAGTTCGGCCCGGTCGTACTTACAGCTTTTTTACTTGCTTCTTCCTTATCTCTATAGTGTTGATACAATTAATTGATGCCCTTTAATCCATTAATTTTTCGGCCCCGGTTCGGATATTCTATATTAATACTAAAAATATCCTATTAACAACATCAAACATTCGTGTTTCCTCTCAGGTGTGTAGCTCCACAAAGAGACATTAAAAATTCCTAATAACTTGTATCCCTCAATGCATTCACATGAACTTTATTCACTCACTTGAAAACTCCCAAATTAGTAACTCTTTTAGTTTCCCAAAAAATTGAATATTTTCAAATAACATATTTAATTTTCCGAGAAAAAAAAAAACATTGATGCTGTCTCACCCTCTCTCCAACATATTAATTTATTTATAACAACATTTGGAAAGCTAAGGCAAGCAGCAGCAAAGCTTTTTTCTGACGAAAAAGGTCGAAAAAATAAAACTTCACGTTTTCATTATTTTTTGTACTATTGTTGTTGTTGGTGAAACAACTCGCATGTATTTTTTGTTACACTTACTTCTTTTTTTTTTTTGGTTTTTCAAATTTCCGCCAACAACCAACCGCGTGATGACGACGACGATGATGATGGTGATGGCGGTGGTGATGGTCGTTGGTTGAATTTCATGAAAACGAGCATAACATGCTGTGAATTTTTAAAATTAAAATAACAGTGAACAAAATAACCATAACTATATAACAACGACAAAAACAACAAGAAGAAGCAGAATAATAATATACGGAAAATTCCATTTTCTGTGTAACTGAAATTGTAGACTTGCCAAGTGTTAAATTAAGAGGGCTGCTGAATTGAAAATTCAACCTGGTGGCTGTTTTTTTTTCGTGGACCTGGACACTCTCCCGGTGTGTTAGGCCACCGCAAAAATAAGAGGTTACCGCAGATCTCCATAAGCCAGGTTGCACCTCATAATAACTCATACATATTTAATAATGGAACAAGTTTTTGAACACAACTTCCGGAGACACGTTGAGTTATGTGACCGAGGGTGAGAGTGTGTGTGTGACAGAGAGGGAGAGAGCCCGCGAGTGGTAAAAGTAGTTGTGGCCTCGACTCCCGTCGTGTTATGAGTGAATTATAAAGAACACTTGCTAAAGTTCTAATTCAAGCTCGAGTATAATGTGCATGCATAAAACGCATATTTACTTTGGGCAAAGTTTATTTCAATTTTAAGAATTGAAAAAAAATTAAAAGTTTTGGTAAAAAAAATTGAAGGGATTTTTTTATGAAAAATTGTTGTTAGATTAGCATTTGCTGACGATTTTATTTTTGTAAAAAGGCAGACTTTTGCTCAGAATCTTTTCTAAGCAAAGAACAGAAAATCTTTCCTCAGAAGACCAGAAGTGCTTTATATCGACAGCAGATAGACTTCAGACCAGAAGGTCTAATACTCATAGAAGACCAGAAGGTCTTCTAATCATAAAAGAGCAGAAGGCATACTATTCATAGAAGACCAGAAGGTCTTCTACTCAGGGAAGACCAGAATGTTCCAAAGAAAGTCTACTACCAGAACTAGGTCTTCTCATGGAAGACCAGAAGTAGGTCTTCTCATAGAAGACCAGATTAAAGTCTTCTCATAGAATATCAGAAGAAGGTCTTCTCATTTAAGTCTTCGGGTCTTCTCTAAGAAGGTCTTTTAAGAAAAGACCCGAAGAAGGTCTTTTAACAGAAGATCCGAAAAATGTCTTCTAATAAGAAGACCAGAAGTAAGCCTTCTTATGAAAGACCAGAAGTAGGGCTTCTTATGGAAGTAGGTTTTCGCATGGAAGACTAGAAGTAGGTCTTCTCAGAGAAGAAGGTATTCTTCTCAGAGAACGTCTTCTTCTCATAGAACACAAGAAGTAGGTCTTCTCATGGAAGACCAAAATAAGGCCTTCTCACGGAAGAAGTAGGTCTTCTCCTAAAAGACCAATAGGTCTACTTTCAGAAGTCCCAAAGGACTTCTTTTAGAAGTCCCTAAAGGTCTACTCCTAGAAGTCGCGAAGGTCTTCTCATAGAAGTCCCGAAGGTCTTCTTCTAAGAGGTTAACAGAAGGTCTTTTTCTCAGAGAAGACCAGCAGGTCTTCATCTCATAAGACCAAAAGGTCTTCTTCTCATGGACGCTCAGAAGTAGGTCTTCTCTTGAAATACAAAAATTAGGTCTTTTCACGGAAGAAGTAGGTCTTCTACTCATAGAAGACCAGACGGTCTTCTTCTCATAGAAGTCCAGCAGGTCTTCTTCTCAGAGAAGACAAGAAGGTCTTCTTTTCAGAGACGACCAGAAGATCATCTTTTTAGAGAAGACCAGAAAGTCTTCTTCTCAGTGAAGATCAGAAGGTCTTCTTCTCATAGAATAACAGAAGAATTTTTTTCTCAGAGAAGATCAGAAGGTCTTCTCACGGAAGATCAGAAGTAGGTCTTGTCTTGGAATACCAGAATTAGGTCTTCTCATGGAAGAAGTAGGTCTTGTACTCAAAGAAGACCAGATCGTCTTCTTCGAAGAGAAGACGAGAAGGTCAAATTTTCAGAGAAGACCAGCTTCTTTTCAGAGATTACCAGCAGATTATCTTCTCAGAGAAAATCTGAAGGTCTTCTTCTCATGTAAGACCAGAATGTCTTTTCCTCAAAGAAGACCAAAAGTTCTTCTTCTCATAGAAGATCAGAAGGTCTTCTTACGAAAAAAGTAGGACTTCTCATGGAAGACCCTAAGGTCTATTCCTAGAAGACCCAAGTGTCTATTCCTAGAAGACCCAAGTGTCTATTCCTAGAAGACTCGAAGGTATACTCCCAGAAGACCCGAAGGTTTTCTCCTAGAAGACCGCAAGGCCTTCTCATAGATGACCAGAAGGTCTTCTTCTCAAGGAAGACCAGAATGTCTACTTTTCAGAGTAGACCAGAAGGTTTTTTGCTCAGAGAAGACCAAAATGTCTTCTTCTCAGAGAAGACCAGAATGTCTTCTTTTCATTGAAGAGCAGAATGTTTTCTTTGCATTGAAGACCAGAAGGTCTTCTTCAAATGCCCAAAATGGTACACAAGGTTCTTAGAGAAGACCAGAAGTAGGTCTTCTCATGGAAGGCCAAAAGATGGTCTTCTCGTAGAAGATCAGAAGTAAGTCTTCGGAAGACCAGTAGGTATTCTTCTCAGAGAAGACCGGAAGGTCTTCTTCTAAGAAAAGACCAGAAGGCCAGAAAGTCTTCTCTTAGAAAACCAGAAGGTCTTGTCCCATAGAAGACTAGAATACCTTGTTCCCACTGAAGATTTGCTTTCACGCTGACTTAATTGTGTGAACTCCGTGGTTTCTAGTTTCAATTTCAAAGGAAGTACAAAATGCGATTATCAAACACTCCACAAAAAATGTAAATACAACTATTATGATATTAACAAAAAAAAAAAAAATAATAATAATAAAAACATCTCTCACTTACCCCAAAAGAATACCCCACAGCCAGGGCATATTCAGCAGGAAATATGCCAACACCGCAATGATGCTGACTTCAGCAATGGTCGGCACCAGGGTCAAACGTGTTATCATAAACCATAATTTCTTAAAGGCATTTGCGTCCAGGCCCAGGCCGGCAAGTAACATAATATTTATTAAGGCCATCTCTCTGCAAAATCAAAAGCGTGGTAAAAGCCGACACACACACAGTGTGATCAGCATGTGTCACATCATTTCGCCGTGGCCATGCGACCACCCACTAAGACTTACCTTAGAATTCCTTCGAATTTTGCATAGCCCGTAAAATCTGCCAATCCAACATTGGCATACAGGACACCAAAGAACAGCATGCCCAACATGTCAGGTAATTTTATGAATGTCACCAGGATACCGGCTGTTTGAGCTCCCACAAAGAGTAGAACGATACGCATTATCACCGTACTGGGTACGGCATATTCGGGCAGTTGAATGTAAGCCAATATCCAGAGTCCTAAGAAGATGAGCAGAATGGCCAAAGGTTGTGATGAAATTGAATAATTTCTTGTCAAATAACGCCAACTACAAGGAAACGGAAATAAAGAGAAAACATAATCAAAAGTTATTATTTTGAGGACAATGCTTTCCAGGAAGCAGAGAGAGATGTAGATTGGTACACAAAAACTCCTAAAATATGTTTGCTTTCATATAATTCATACTCATAGGTATACAATACTAAAAAATAAGTTATTCAATGTCTTATCAACGCACTGACGTAACAGTTTGAGTTATAAATTTTTGAAAACTTTTGAAAAACACTAAGCCACAAGAAACTGGTTTTTAGAGACAAAAATTATGTACTCCTCGAGTCTGATAGCATACATTTTGAATATAGGTCACTGTTGTTACTAGATATGAGTTTAATTGATGTTTTAGCAATTTGTGCTGAAAGGTACTAACAGTACTAAATATTTTGCAATTAAAGGTAGATTATAACAAGTAAGCAAAGGCTATAGTCGTGCGGGGTACCCTACAATACTAGAATATGTTAGAAGCCCATTTATGTCCAAATCCATTTTGGACGATTTCGCTTTTGAAATTATGTTACGGAACACTGCCCAGATATTACCCTCAACATTTTGACCTCGGACTGTTGGTCCCATATTTACGCACTCCGTCGAGGTGTTAGTTGTTGTGGTCCATTTTACAGCTAAATATAATACAATGGACATAAAAAATGCTAGAATTTTACCCTGTTCTTAACTCTCTTCTCAGGCGTGTCCATTGGCTTCTATTGTGTGGGATTTTTTTCTGTTTTTGGTTCATTTGAACCCCTCAATATTTTGCGATCATCTCCGAAAGCAAAAGATCCCTCTGTATCTCCAAATTTAGACTCATCTATATGATTTTATTGTCTACGATATTTGGCTATATTCGTCAACGAAATCAGCACAAAAAGCCAGAAGTTCCCCACAAAGTGGTGGTCCATTCTACGCGCTGTTCTAACTCCAACTTCTTTCGAGATTTCGTGTCTTTTCGTTTCCTTTATAACTGTTGCAAAATCAGAAACATCAAAAACAATTGACCTATCCCTTCTGAGCCTAACCCTACCCTTGTGAAAATTTTCGTGAGGATCGGACGATAATTTCAATCTGGATACAATATCCCCAACCTGTGTTGTAAGGTAAAAAAAATATTACACTTTAATATTATAAGTCAAATTGAAAAAATCGCATGCGATAAAAAATATGAAAAAAATCGAAAAATGTCACAAAATACTACAAAATCTATTGGCATCATTACTGGCATTTTTTTAGATTTCATACTTTTATGCCGAGAGGGCAATCTGAATTGACAAAATTTGTCAAAATCGGTCCAGCCATTATTGAGCTGTAAGCATTCTAGGTAACATTCCCATCCGTTGAATATACACATTGTATATACTTCGCTATATATTTAATATCGGCATCTACGTAACGATCAGAATTGACCTGCTCGTGTATTTGTGATTTCTCCAGGATTAAAAATATTCGCGGTTTAATGGAAAATTTGACTTTTATTTCACACAAATGATATGGTCTTTTTCACCCACTAAATATCACCCGAACCATCAAAATTGGAAGGCTTTTGCACAGCCCAAAGCTCTAGCCCCATGCTAACTTCCGCTTCGATTGGTCTATAATTGTGACCTGTAGAGCAACTGCAAAATCAATAAAATTTTCTGTTTTTGGTCCATCATAGGGTTCTATTCTGACCCTAACCCCACCTCCATTTTTAATTTCGTGAGGATCGGTTCATAATTGCGACCTGTAGCTTGATTAGAAATTAACATGGACAGACGGACGGACGGACATACATAGCTAGATCGACTCATCTCGGCGAGATAGAAAGATCCATATATATTTTCCTATGTGGGAAACCAATATTTAGAGGTGTTACATAATATTTGGCCCAATCAAACTTATAATACCCCCAACCTATAGTGTTGTAGGGTATAAAAACATTGGTATTTTAGAAATTTGGTATCTAAGGAATTTAAATTGTTTTGCGAAACTACGTTTCAAAACTCATGCCTTTGGTAACGCTTAAGAGCTTAAATTGTAGGTTTGAACTATGGGGCCGATGGCGATGTTTTTGGGGCAAAAAAAAAAAAAAAAACCTTTAAACATACGGGTGAAATGAAAACCTGCAACTATCTTCAGACTGCTGTTATTTCTACGTCACTCGTCCGACAGCTGTTAGAATTATTCCAGTGACAGCTCATAATATTGTTTACAAAAGGGACAAATGCATTTTGGTGAAATTTTTTCAGAAAAAAGTTATTCGTAAGGGAATTCATGCTTGACCGTATGGTTTCTTTATATTTGGCTGGAAAGCCACAAGTGGCTATCGTTAGAGCACTCCAGCATTTAAATGTGAATAAATCGTTTGTGTCTCGTACCATAGCTCATTACCGTGATACTGGTAGCGTAGCCCAGCGTCAAGGAAGTGGACGGAAGAAAGCAGCAACATCAGCAGAAATGATTCGAAAAGTAAAGAAGCGACTTAATGGAAACCCGCGTCGCAGTGGCCGAAAAATGGCTCGTGAGCTGAACATATCGCAATATTCCATTCGGCAAATATTGAAAAATGAGCTCGGGGTAAAGCCGTTGAAATTCCAAAAAAATGCAAGAACTTACACCGCTACAGTAAGAAAATAAACTCAAAAGAGCTAAAGAGTTACTTCGCTTGGCCGAAAGTGGTGAACTGCCGAATTTGGGTTTCTCCGATGAGAAAATATTCGTTGTCCAGTAGTTTGTAAACAAACAAAATGATCGTGTTTACTTGTCAAAGAGGTCAGCTGAAAATGTGTACCTTCGGTTGACCACTAGAACTCAAACGCCGGCCAAGGTGATGGTGTGGGCCGCCATAACAGTCGATGGTCGCTCTTCGCTCGAATTCATTCGCCTGAATAAATGCCGAATATTATCGCGAAAATATTCTGGAGGGTGTATTAAAGCCTTGGACACGCAAACATTTTGGCCGCAGACCTTGGACATTCCAACAGGACTCAGCAGCATCGCACTCAGCACGCGCCACCCAAAAATGGTTACACAAATGAGGTTCCTCGCTTCATTTCCAGCGCACAATGGTCACCAAAATCTCCGGATACCAATCCGTTGGACTATTGTGTCTGGAGTATTTTGAAATGTAAGGTTGGCACTAAAAAATACCAAAGTATCGATCACCTCAAGCAAGCGCTTCGCCGAGAATGGGCTAAAATACAACGTGTGACGGTTTCATTGGCCATTTGAAGGCTAATTCGAACAAATCTAAACTTATTCTAAAATTTGATGCTATTTCCCACATTTTTATACCCTCCACCATACATAGTATGGAGGGTATATTAAGTCCGTCATTCCGTTTGTAATTCATCGAAATAATCATTTTGGACCCAAAAAAGTATATACATTCTTGATCAGCGTAAAATTCTAACGTGATTTAGCCCTGTCCGTCCGTCTGTTGTAATCACGCTACAGTCTAAACGAATAAAGATAGGAAGCTAAAATTTTGCACAGATCTCTCTTTTGTTTGCAGGCAGGTCAAGTTCGAAGATGGGTTATATCGGTCCACGACGGTCCACATAACGGTACCCCCCGATATTCGGTATTTTGATGATTTTACCAACATTTTTCAACGGAATTGTCTGAAAATCCACACAAGGAGTTTCATGTGGGTACTCTATACTCGGTACCCGGTATTTTGATGATTTTAGCCACATTTTCTAATGCAATGGTCTGAAAATCCACACATGAAGTTCCTTGTAAGTACTTAATCCCTTGAAAGAGAATTATCTATATAGGTCCACGATATCGAATAGCCCCCATATAACTGTACCCCCGATATTTGGTATTTTGATGATTTTATCCACATTTTTCAATTGAATTGTCTGAAATTTTACACAAGGAGTTTCATATGGGTACTTTATACCTCGGAAGAGAATTTTCTATATAGGTCGACGATGTCGTATAGCCCCCATATAACGGTACCCGGTATTTTGATGATTTTAGCCACATTTTCTAATGGAATGGTCTGAAAATCCACATAAGAAGTTCCTTGTAAGTACTTAATCCCTTGAAAGAGAGTTGTCTATATAGGTCCACGATATCGTATATTCCCCATATATCGGCACCTTCCGATATTAGGTATTTTAAATATGTTAACAGAATTATTGATGGATTTTATTTATTTTTTTATTTTTTTTTTTTTTTTGTTGAAAATTTTCTAATTCGTTCCAGATGGTGGAGGGTATTCAAAGTTTCGTACCCTCAAAATATGAACAAAAATTCATCAGTATTTAATAGAACATTCCTAAGATCTACCTCTTACCAATAACTAAGCAACAATGCTGTACGATTTTGTACTCTTTAGGACTTTGAAAATTCAGGCGAAGTACCAACTATTTCTCTGCCATTTGTGACGGTAAAAGTGCTTTGTAAACTATTTTCGTACACTAGCTTCCTTAACGAAAAATAAAGTGGTAGCTGCTTGCTTTTGTAACACCTTCCTATTGTTAACCACAAGGCTCCTTTTAATTATTTGGCAAATAAAGAAACTATGATCTAAAACTTATATGAGCACACATTACAATACACATACCCATACATACACAAAAGAACTTCAGCATAAAACGCCCATTAAAACTGGAATAGGTCTCCATATCACAGCATTGTGAGGAGCATAATAAATAACACAACAATAAAATAAGTTTTCTCTTTTTTTCGAAATAGAAGGATAACAACAATTGCTAGTTCTTTGAGGGTAAAGTGGACTCACACAGCCACAGTCATGTAATTAACTTTATTAGAATGGCAATTAATACTAATTATCATTATTATTGTTGTTATAATTATTGTAATTTGGTGTAACAAAAGTAACCGCACACACAACTGCAAATGAAAGCGAAACACACAAAACAAACGAAACGAAAAACCAGTAAAAAAAAGTCTTAAAGTCGGACGAGGCCGACTTTATGATACCCTACACCACTTTGCTAATTTAGTACAGCTCCGCAAAAGAATTAAAAGTTTTTGTGGGAGTAT